AGGAGGGTCAAGATGCTGTTCAGTAAGATGATGAGCAAGAAGCGCGGCGACTGCAGGAGGCGAAAGCTGATGTTCCACGATATCAGTCGGGCGCATTTTCACAGTCCGGCTCGCAGGCGTGTGTTCGTTCAACTACCTGCCGAGCGACATCGAGAGGGCTACTGCGCGCTGCTGCTCAAAAGCATGTACGGCACAAGGGACGCGGCGGCGACCTTCGCTGAGAAGGTTATGGAGGTGCTGCGCGACATGGGCTTCAGGATCGGTGTGTTCTGTCCGTGCCTGTGCAGGCACGAGGAGAAGGACATCTTGCTGTTCTACCACGGGTATGACTTCGTGAGCGAGGGCGAGGGCGACTCGCTGGAGTGGTTCAAGGTGGAGTTGTCCAAGAGGCTGCTGGTGAAGGTGCGTGGAGTGCTTGGCTGGGACGACAACGATGGGAAGGAGATCACGCTGCTCAATCGGATCGTCAAGCTCACCGAGGTGCAGGACGGGGTTCCGTGTTTGCAGTGGGAGGCCGATGCTCGCCATGTCGAGATCGTTTTGTCGCAGCTGAAGCTCGAGCCGGGCAAGGGCAGCAAGTCGGTGACGTCGCGTGGCATCAAGAGGACCGCGGAGGAGCTGGAGAGTTCGGCTAGCCTCGGGACTGTCGAGGCATCGTTGTTCAGGAGCGTCTGCATGAGGATTAACTACCTGGCGATGGACAGGATCGACTTACTCTTCGCGGCGAAGGAGGCAGCAAGGTGGATGAGCAAGCCGACACAGACAGCCATGGAGATGGTGAAGCGAAGCGTGCGCTACTTGATGCGGCGACCAAGGATCGTGCAGCAGTTCGTTCAGCAGGTGGAGCCAGACTACCTGAAGGTGGCGTGCGACTCCGACCATGCAGGCTGTGTACTGACGAGGAGGAGCATTACGGGCATTGCGCTGTACCACGGAGCTCACTTGCTGAAGGCGACGGCCAACATCCAGTCGGTGATAGCGCTGTCGAGCGGGGAGTCGGAGTTCTACGCGATCGTGCGCGGGACCAGTGTCGGACTGGGAGCCCAAAGCATGTGTGAGGACTTCGGCATGAAAAAGGACTTGATCATCGAGACTGATGCGACGGCCGGGCGCGGTATGGCGCTGCGGCTTGGCGCAGGAAAGGTGCGCCATCTACACACGCAGTACTTGTGGGTCCAGACGGTCTTCCACGAGAAAAGGGCGAGACTGGTCAAGGTGCCTGGCGACCTCAACACAGCGGACATGATGACCAAGCACCTGACCGGCGATACGATTGACTTTTACATGGATCGGTGCGGGTTCGTTATCCTGGAGGGCAGGAGTGAACTGTCGCTGAAGGCGGCAGTATGAGCGCGGCTTGGGCCGAAGGTTCGGCCTAGTGATTTCATGATCTGCCTGAGTAAGGCTCTGTTTGCTTGCTGGTCGACTGCGGCGCGACAGGCGCCTGGTCGAGGAGTGTAGCAAGACATACTTGATAAACGGTTGTGATGGCGTGTTGCTGTCGGCAGCCGTGCTGGTTCAAAATCATCCCGTCAGACAGACAGACACATACATACATAAAGACAGACAGACAGACATACAGACATGCAGACAGACATACAGACATACACATACATACATACATGCATGCATACATAAATACATGCATGCATGCAGAAATACATGCATGCGTGCACGAGTCCACACAAACACACACACACACACACGTGCATACATGCACCTAGACAGGCATACATGCATGCATGCATGCATGCATGCATATATGCATAATGAATACATGCCTACAAAAAGCCAACATACATGCATGCATAACCTCATACATAAATGCGTATCTACACACTTACACACCTACACATATGCATGAATGCATGCATACATATATACATACATGTGTGCAGGCATGCATGCGTGCGTGCATACATACATACATACATGAATGCATGCATGCATACATACATACAAACGCACACGCACACGCACACATACATACATACATACAGACAGACAGACAGACAGACATGCATACATGCATACATACATGCATGCATGCATACATACATGCATGCATACATACATACATACATGCATGTACACCTACATATATACATACATGCAGTACATGCAGTGCATGCATGCACACATACATACATATATACATACATACATACATACATACATACATACACGCATACATACATACATGCATGCATGCATACATACATACATACATACATACATACACACATACGTATATACATGCATATACACGTATACGCATGCACATACACAGCTGCATGCATATGCACATACGCACATGCACATGCACATACACAGGCATAGACATCGACATATGCAAGTTTGTTATGTGCAGTTGTACCTGTGTGTGCCCACTGATAGGCGAGGGAATTGAAAAAGAGTGAGGGAAAGAGAGAGCGAAAGAGCGAGAGAGAGCGATAGCGAAAGAGAGAGAGGGACAAACAGGAAAGAGGATCAGTTAAAGAGAGAGAGAGAGAGAACAAACAAAAGAGAAAGAGAGAGAGAGGAGAGTGAGGGGGACAGGAAGCGACTGGAAAGTCCAGGTATGCAAGGGCGCTCCATACGGAAGGAGGAGAGGAACAGCAACAGCAGAGGGAGCAGGACGCAAGTGTGGAAGAACGACAGGGAGAGCGAAGGCAGGAGAGGGGAGACAGCGAAGTCTTCTCTCCTCCTCCTCCTCCTCCTCCTCCTCCTCCTCCTCCTCCTCCTCCTCCTCCTCGTCTCTCCTCCTCCTCTGCTCCTCCTCCTCCTCCTCCTCGTCCTCCTCCTCCCCTCCTCCTCCTCCTCCTCCTCCTCCTCCTCTCCTCCTCCTCCTCCTCCTCCTCCTCCTCCTCCTCCTCCTCCTCCCCCTCCTCCTCCTCCTCCTCCTCCTCCTCCCTCCTCCTCCTCCTCCTCCTCCTCCTCCTCCTCCTCCTCCTCCTCCTCCTCCTCCTCCTCCTCCTCCTCCTCCTCCTCCTCCCTCCTCCTCCTCCTCCTCCTCCTCCTCCTCCTCCTCCTCCTCCTCCTCCTCCTCCTCCTCCTCCTCCTCTCGCGTGGCAGCGTTTGGCCCGAGGCTCCGTGCGCCGAGCGGGCCGCCGGCTCCCTCCGGCATCCGCCCGACCGCTGTTGTTGCTGCGCAGCAGCCGGCCTGCCTGGGCTGACCGCGCCCCGCGACGGCTGCGACCTCAGATGCCCTGCCATTGTGACTGCCTACCAGACTTAGGAGGCAACTGCTGGGAGGTTTTCGTCGGAGGAGGATTGAGCCCCATTTGGGAACTGTTGCGCCGGAAAGGGCATCGGACTGAGCAGGATCGAGCGGGATTAAGCTGGATTGAGCCGGGCTTCGGACCAAGGCAAAATCGGAATCTGACCTCCCAGGAGTTGCATCCGAACCAGACCACCCCAACCCAACCGAAGACCCGAATTCCGGGTTGGGGGGGGTACGGGGTCCAGATGTGTTTTTCAAGGTTCCCCGACCCCCCCCCACTGGAGATGGAGGGCAAACTGAGGCCTTCGGGTTGGTTTGGGGTGGTTTGGTGGGCGGTGAAGTTGTGGGTTGCTCCGTCGCTCGCTGGAGTACTCCAAGGTGCCGGGCATCCACACGTGGCAGCCGTTCGCCCGCGAGCATTTCCCCCGCCGCTTCGGCAGCGCTTCCCTGGCGCGGGCGGCTGCTTCCAAGCCCAGCAGCACGGCGGAGTCCAGCGAGGTGATTAGCACATACGTGGGACTACCGATCGCCTACGAGGACCACCCCTGCCGTTGCGGCAGCGCGCCCCTGGCGCAGGCGGAGGTTTCCAAACTCGGCAACTGGGCACCTTCACGGGGCTGCCGATCGCCGGCGAGGACTGACCCTGCCGCTGCGGCAGCGTGCCCCTGGCGCAGGCGGCGGCTTACGAGCCCAACTTCACAGCGGAGTGATACGAGGTTCCGGTCGCAAGCCCACCTGATCGTAAGTTGGGCAGCGCAGAGGCGCAGTTCATGAGCTACGACACGATCTGATGCTGCCCAGGTCGGCGCCAGGTAGTGATTTGCGAGAGCATCAGAAGATTATGACATTCTGATCGATATAGTAACTTGCTCTAAGATGGGTATATCTCCTCAGTAGGCTGGATCATTGAGCCCGACATGGCTAGAAAATATGTCCGTTAAGCGGAGGCGTGCAAATAAGTGTGATGATACGCGCGCGCTAAGAGACAGGCGCGCGCACCATCTTCACCTACTCGCAGCCCAATGCAGCTGCGGCACACGCGATGACAATGTCAGGCGTCAGCGGCGGCGGCGGCGGGAGACGGCGAAAACAGAAACACGTTAACTAATTTGGGTGTCCGCTTTTCCTTCCCTCGCCTTCCCCCTGCTTTCTGCAACTTCTGCGGGTGCTGCACTCAATGTTGCGCACTACTTGCGGTGTCGCGCCTGCGCTGTTCGCAGGCCCAGGCTCCCTCGGCGCGGGTCGCCCCCCTTTGTCTCGCAGGGCGTCTCGCGTTTCTGCTGTCTTGTGGCGCTTGGCCTCCCGAGTTCGAGCTACCATTCGGCCGCTCCTGTAGCAGTGCATTGTCAGTGCAGTCCACTTTGGCGTCCCTTTTCGCCCCGCCTTCTGCTGTCCTCTCGGCTTGGGCTGGCGCCAGCCGGTTCGGGTGTTCGAGCCTCCCCCGCCTGTAGTGGCAGAACTCTTTTCCAGTGTTTCAGGTGCCATTGAATTGATCTGGCGAGTATGGTGCGATGCTCTCGCCGCGCTACCCTCTTCTCTTATTTACCCAATGTTGGGTTCGGGCTCCTCCTCCTTTTCCTCCTCCTCCTCCTCCTCCTCCCTCCGCCCTCCTCAGCCTCCCCCTCCCCCTGCTGCCCTCCGCCCTCCTCCCTCTCCTCCTCCCCCACCCCTACCTCATGGGACCCCTGCTTAGTAACGCCTCCTCCCAAGAGCCATCCGAAGCCTTCGTCCTACTGGCAAAAGGGCGCGACGGCATGTGCGGGGCGGCAGCGCCGTC